TTTTTCCCGAAAATTAAGAATTATAAATCTTGGCTGCTATTTTACACGCAACTATTCTAGTTATGTTGCCGCACTAGCAGTTAGTTGCTCTTTTTATCTTTATAATTTTCAGCTTGCAATTAAATTCAGCTATAGGGAAAATTGTATTGATTATTAACTTCGAACAAATCGAGACCTTTTATCAGTACCATTGATAAATTAATTATTTACTCCATTTGTCTTTCTAACGATATTATGTTTTAACAGTTCCCTTGTCATTCCTTTTCTCAAAATATTGATTGTTTCTAAATTCTCATTTCAGGTTTCACTATTCCAATCTATATGAAAATACCTATTTCATGATTTTTTTTTTCTTTTAAGATGATTTATACTGGACTACTCTGTTTACTTTTCGTTCACCAAGCAGCACATGGCTTTACTACAGACAATAAAACGGACGAACACCGACTGTTTGATAAATTAATGCAAAATTATAACCGAGCTTCAAGACCTGTGTACAATGCATCCAATGCTGTCGATGTCTCTCTGAGTATTAACCTTATTCAGATATTAGATATGGTAACTTGTTTTTATGTGTTTATTTTTGTGTAAATATATTTATATATTGTTATGCATTATATCGTTGGCGTCCGCGTGGAAGCGCAACGCCCGTTATGGAATGAAATCAGATTTTGTGGAAGGGCAATTGCAACTTCTCGGACATTTCGTCGGTCATAATAGCCAATCATTTCGATTGGTATGAGGATGTTTGATTATCAAAAATGAAATGTCGCGATGTGTACTTTGAATAGCGAACTGGAGAATTTCGCAATGCAAATTCAAATGAAATTATCTTATCCGTCAGTTTTTTTGTGTTTTTTTTTGTGTTTTTTTTTTATTTTTATTATTATTATTATTATCATTTTGTAGTACACAGTGGGTTATTATGTATACTATTGCTTTACCTTTAAATAGAATGATGACTTTCACTTGAAAGTCCGAAAATCTATTTATAGACGTAGTTTAAGTTCGACAAAACGGTTATTGTGTCGCGCTATGGTAATAAATAACGAACTGGATAATTTTGCAGGAAATGAACTGCAAAAAAAACTATGGAAAAAAATTAAGTAGGCCATTTATATCATAGTATTATCATTTTGAAATTGTCTTTTCCGTAGGCTCTTTTACGGCCCTGATTGCACTTATGACATTTTTACCGTGAATATAATAGACCTAGTTCATAACTTTAATGACGTTGTGTGACAGTTAACGTATACTATGAAACCTATTCGCTGTTCAAGTCTTTTCTATATTTTGTTTGAAGGCAATCGATTTTATGGTTATTTGAGTGGAATGTTGATTTGCCGAATATTGTGACATTTAAACAACAGAAACGTTTTCTGCAATTTGAACATGAGCTATTATGGGTTCTTTGATAGGAAAGTAAACACACTGGTGGGTCAGACGAGGTTTTTGAAGTAATTCATTAAAAAAGTAGATTGATCTCCCAATAAATCATTTAACAGACTTTGTTAATTTTGACCTCTGTTTTGTATGTTCCAAAGAAAATACCACATGAACTTGAAATTCTATCAAATAGCCAATATGAATGATAATATCCAAAAATACCCCCTTTATAGTATAAATAGACTTATACCAATGGGGGGGGGTATAATTTTGGACATTATAGACCTGTATATTTTGGATATTATTCGCTAATATTGATAGAATTACAAGTTCATGTGGAAAACATTTAATATTCTAATCTCTAGCATGCCTACCAAAGTTCAAGATGAACAATGTCTTTCGTCTGCCCATTCATAAATGATATACAATTCTGGTAAAAACCAACAAACCATTGAAAAGTTTGTAAGAATATCTGGTCATCTGATGTGTAACTAGTTCATCTTCACTTGCTTCATTTCTTGCTTGGACGCTCTTTGATGCTTTGCATCAATTTATATGTTTTAGCCTTTAACTGTTCTATACGGGAAAATATTGTTTGTAAAACCATATCGCACAAACCGCCAGGAGAGCCCAATATTGGTCAAACCATCAGGAGCCCAATATTTTTATAAGTCGTTCAAGATGAGTCAAATATCAGTCGCAATAAGTTATTAAGTCTATATTATTACGTTATTGGACATTCTCTTATATAAGCGAAGTAGACAGCTATATTGGAAGAGGCGCCAATGAAATCAGTATTGTACTCAATAGCACAGGGGCTTGTCAATTTATCTTTCTTTTTCCACTATATATAATATATAACAAGGGATACAACTTATTATTGCTAAATTCATGAACGCAGTGTACAGTTTGAGTGTTGAACATTCATGAAAGAATCAATTATTTAAAAAAGAAATATGCCGAACATTTTTAATTTCGGTTAGTAAAGTTACACATGTGAAACGACATCTTCTGTAATCCTATACTCATATGAGAAAATTTGATGATATAAGGTTAAATCATTCATTAACCAGGTTAGGCTAACTTTTGGTTTCCGCTCAATAACTATCAGTTCCCAGATGTCTGTGATAAGGTCAAGGTCACTGACTAAAAATAGAAATTCAGTTTCCGCTTTGAGTTTGCTTTGGCCTATTGACACCAAACTTGTTTTATGGATAGAATCGAAATAACATCGGCCTGAGAGGTGTTTATCGGCTATCTAACACCGGTTTTGTCGTTTGATGCGAAAATATTAACCACTCAGGCCTGCGGCCTTCGTGGTCAATTTCTACGCATCAAAACTCCAAACCGGTGTTGAATAGCCGATATACACCTCTTAGGCGCTGTTATTTCTTAAATATTTCTTTACATCAGAAAACACGTATATAACGGATGAACAACTGTGTTCATCTCTTCTTTAATATTTTAAAACCTTTCTGTTTATTTGCAGGACGAAACGGATCAAGTTTTGAATACGCACGTATGGTTACATCAAGTAAGATCTTTAAACATATCTTCAAACAGTGTACAAATAATGTTTTGTTCACATAAATATAAACAGTGCGTGCGCATTGCTGTCCCATTGTTTTGGCTGTTTGGTAACATCCCAGTTACACAGAGCCATCGGTGATTGATCGGTAGTTTTTTTAGCCAAATTATAGAGTGAACCGATGACAACGTATTTAACACCGATATCACCTATTGGTCACCTGTTTTCCACCTATCAACTGCTATTGGGGAAAGATAAGTTTCATCGGTGAAAAATTACCGATTGGGATTTTTAAACATGTTTAAAATTCTCGATCGGTGAAAATATTTTACATGTACAAATAACCGACAGCAACCTATATCACGAGATATGCAAGCTCTTAATCACCGATATCACCGATCAGACAAAGATAACCAAATATGAATCACCGGCCATATCTGACGGAAAGTGTTTTACCACTGATGACTAGCTATCAAACACCGATTAATCAGCGTTACGCCCGATTTAGCTCCGATTTACAAACGATAAAAACCGAATATATTTCAGCATTTAATCATCGACCCAACCCCGTTTGAGTTGGCTTTCTGTCACCGATGGCCGTTTACACAGAAAACAAGAAATAAAATCATGCTTGACAACCGAGCATAACAGCGAGTAAATTTAAAATTAAATGACCGATTGGGGACCGACCGTCTGTGTAACTGGCCCCTAAGAATTAGGTTGGAGGGTCTGGTTCAAATATTCTTCTAGAATCAAAAACCGGGTGAATTTGAAAATTCTTATAAGGAAAAAGACACATTTATTTATATTCAAGAATGGGACATCAGGTAGTTATATCCAGATTTACGTGACATCTCTGTTTTAATATAATTTTGTTAACAAGGTACTACATTTAACTTTATCTCGGCATGTATTTAAATGCAAACCCGTGGCTGAGTGGTTAAGGTCGTTTCATTAAAATCACATACACCGCCGTGGGTTCAATGCGCGACAGTGACTTTAGATTCTAGCATGTGATGAAGTTATCCTGGTATAGGTAACCAGAGACATTGGTGAATTTAGTCAAAATGAAACTTACAAAAGCGGCAACGACAGCGTAATAAAATCGTTTATAGTTTCAATGATTCTTTTCGTGAAATAACCAGAAAGCCTCATTGTGAAATTGTTAACCAATAGTTCGTTAAAATTGATAACGAAACCGCTGTGTGGTAGCTTACATTCATGTTAATAACTTTTTGTTGATCAGATTTGTTATCAAATTTAATTGTATGTTGTTTGAAGAGGATATAAGAGAATAAATATTAGATCACCTTTTAACATTTCCTTTTCTTTCCAAGTCATCGCTAAACTTTCTCTTGCAAATCGATTTAGTTTTGCTCATTTTAGCAGTTTTTGTTTGATTATCAACTCGATGAATGTTATACGTTTTCAAACGATTTTTTCCTCGAATAATAACCGAAGTATTACCGAAATATTTCTAAGGAAAGTTAAATTTGTACTGTAACAATAAACTCTGTCGTTTGTACAGTTACAGATTATAATCACAGGGAAAAAATCTAAATAAAATCCAACTGAGATTCATGCAATCGTCCAAATATCATTTTGTATTTCAATAAGTTTCATTACAAACATATTTGCATCCTTTTGCATTTGTACTTATATAAATTATTTTCATTTGATTGAAAAATGATTCCTTGAGAAATATACGTAAACGAACTATATTAATATTTCATTAAATTGTTACATAGACTTTTTTTCTAAACTTTCAACAAAATGATCAAAGCAAAAATGCTTGACAACTGAGCAATTTTTGTTGTGTGTAAGAAAGATAAATATATTTATCAAATTAAAGATGCATTTTTTTTATTTCAAAGTCACTGTTGCATAACGGACACCTCATTTTACAGCGATGATTATAGTATATGGGTCATATTGTCACCTAAGCTGTTTATAAATATAACAATATGATAAACAAGACCAACAGGACTCGGACCGGTGAATTTTCGTACTATTTGTTCTATAGTAAATCAGTCAAATTTGGATTCCACTGTTCTTGATGAATTATATACTGTCTCAACTTTAAACATTAACACTATCTAAGTCCAATGAGGCCCAAAATATAATAGGTTAGCCATCTACTTTTTTCAGAAATCTTCATTCTGTTGTAACACTGTTTAAATTCACCTCTTTAAAAACTCCTCACAGCTGGTGGGTAGTACATCTTTAATCCTTCCACCAACAAATGAGTTCCTGGAGAATACACAAAAAATAACTTTTAAAGTCATCATATAACACACAAAAACTACACACACGCAATAAACACACTTTAATTATGACCAATCTAACTAGAGATGACTTAAACTGGGCCATTTCAAAATTTTAAAGAACTACTTTCTAGACTACAATGGGTTCGGTCTAATTCCGTACCGGGTTGAGACCTAAATGAATCCAAAATTTAAGTTAAGCCAAACTTTATACTCATTTCCAAGTAATTTAGTGTTATACAAGTACAATCATATAGGTTTGACATGTCTCTAACAAATTACATTAATGCAGTACAATTTCTTAAATATGAACCTTCATGCGAAAAGTCAGGCTCGGCCAATAGAATTTTACGCAAAAAATTATATTACAAATTCTGTCATATCTTTTGATTCTGTCAATGGATTTTCTTCGAATAAAGTTTAATGTTACCGGCTAATGTCATACAGTTATTTTTATGAAAGAATAAGACCTTATTGCTTAAAAATTGTAATAAAAACTCCATTTCTTTAAAAGGGAGCATAAAATTTTGGGTTAAAATACAAGTAATCAACAATTAATGTGCTTTTTCATAACTTTTTCCTTCAATATTGTAATAAAACTTACTGATCATGATTTTTACCTATATACCATGGTAAATAAAGTAAAAAACCAACATACACACACTACATTGTTTGCTTAAGATATCAATAAAGACAAACAGAGGTAATCTTAAGATTAGCAAAGAGGTTACCATATCACCATGGGATATGTCTTCTGACAAACTAAGATTAGCCAACTCTCACACAAATAAGGCTTAAAAAAGATGACACATACCGTCTCCCACTTTAAATCATTGAGAAGTCTTAATATAGTCAGAATTAGAGAAATTTTTTTCTGATATACATCAAAATAACTACCAAATATTGCCCGAGCATTGGGAGTCGCTACCGTCAATAGCTGAAGTTTCAAACTAGACATAAGTTATTACCTTCTCAATGTGTCCTGACAAAGCTGCTGCCAAACTGAGCTGAAGGAGTCCTTCCATAGATCTTTACCGTGATAAGGTAAGGTCCTGTACTTAAACCCAGGCTTTGGTAACTGCACGGTCTAAAAAAGTATGCAACACTAGTACATGCCTAAGAAAATTATAAGAGGCATTTATGCTGTAATTCTGATATCTGAAAAAGAAAGAAAATAATGTCTTAATTAATCAATGGCTAGATTTGCTAATTCACACAGGAGAGCTTATATAAATATTGTGTGCTGAAAAATGCATGACTGCATGAAAATAGCAGTTTAGACATTATAAATGTAACCTAAATTAACTGATGTAGCAGCTACAACAACAACAACAACAATCATATCAACTGTGTTATTCTAAATGAGCCAATTATCCATAAAGTACACTGTTTAATGACTAGAAAATATTTTATGTGTATATATTAATAGCAAATACATTCTGCAACACAGCAAAACATCAAGTTTCACTACACTGAAAATGCCTATATTTTCCAAATTTTATAAATTCACATTGTCCCGTTCAATTGTCAGTTCTGCTTCATTGAAATACAAGAAAAACGTGAATATTTACATACTGATTATTACAGCATCAGTCCTTTGCTGAAACATCAAAACATATAATGTGTGGTCCATATGAGCAATAGGCTACTATGGTGCTTGTTCGAATCCCATGGCCGGTGCTTCTTGGGCCCCTTAGAGATCTCTGGAATGAGCTTGCCAATCACTTTTTTTACCAATGTAACCAATCTGAAACCACACACTCCCAAATTCCTTGCAATGCATAATTTATCCATAATGTAAGATGCATTTCTCTAAAATTTATCATTTTCTATATAAATCTTATAAAAATAAGCTAGATTTATAGTATATTGCTAAACACAAGGTGCAAAAATAAAATTTATCAATTTATAAACTGCTTTTTACAAAATTTAAATTTCATTTTTTAATTCTAAATTTATCTTTACAGTTTTAATTCAATAAAATGTGGTTAATTTTTTATGCAAAAGCTCTGTACCCTTCTCCCTGCTTACTGACACAGTAGCAGACATCTACATTTGAAGGGGAGATAACAAGTACAACATATGTCCCAATTTAAATGTCAAAAATTAAAATTTGAAATAAAATTTAAAATTTTCAAACCTGTCAGTTATCCTTTATTTTCCTGACTTCTTTTCATAAACACATCACTGATGCAAAGTTTCATCCATATCCATCAACCAATTCCAATTTTTCTTATTTCTTATCTAGGACTCGGACCGGTGAATGTTCGTACTATTTGTTCTATAGTAAATCAGTCAAATTTGAGGCTTAATTCTGGATTCCACTGTTCTTGATGAATTATATACTGTCTTCAACTTTTAAACATTAACACACTATCTAAAGTCCAATGAGGCCCAAAATATAATAGGTTAGCCATCTACTTTTTTCAGAAATCTTCATTCTGTTGTAACACTGTTTAAATTCACCTTTTTAAAAAAATTTCCCCCACAGCTGGGTAGTACATCTTTAATCCTTCCACCAACAAAGGGTTTCCCTGGAAATACAAAAAAAATAATTTTTAAATCATCTATAACACCCCAAAAACCTCCCACACATGCAAAAAAACACATTTTAAATTTTTAATGCCCCAAATCTAACTAGAAAATGATTAAAAACGGGGCCTTTTAAAAATTTTAAAAGAACTACTTTTTTAGACTACAATGGTTCGTCTAATTCCTTTCCCGGGGTTTTGGGGAACCAAAAGGAGGTGGGGGTTCAATGAACCCCAAACGCTTTGTTTACTTTGAAAATAAAATAAACCCAACAAAAAAAAAAAGAAAAAAAAAATTTTCATTTTCTTATTTTTTAGCCCATTTTTAAAGGAATTTTGTCAGTCTTTTTTTTGTTTTTTCGGGCCCAAAGGCGGGTAAAACAAAGCTGACATTAAATCTCGGGACACAAAATTTTTCAGGGAAAACCTTTAACAAAAAGTATTTCTAAAAACAGTTTAAAAACAAAGCGTTTTTAAAAAAAGAAATATTTTTATTTTTTTTACAAGTATCCAAAAAATTACAACGCATTAAAAATTTAAAAGTAGCGTTGTTTTATAAAATTTTAAAATAAATGCCAATCAAAAAATTACCCCGGAATGAATAATGTTTTTTAATAAAGGGAAATCCCTATTTAGAATTTTTCGTTCCGAATCTCCCACAAAAAAAATCGGACTCCCGATTTGTGGAAATATAAATTCTACATGCCCGGACTGGTTTTCGGGAAAAAGGATTTTCGCTAAATTTTTTCTTCAATTTTAAAAACGGGTTTTTTCCCTGAAAAAAATTTACCTTGAAAAAAGTAAGGTTTTTACAAACCCCAATGCAATGGAAGTTCTAAATTTAGAATGACTAGATTTTATTCAGGCATCGTTTATATAACTTCTCCGTGGGGCAGGGGTAACGCGCTCGTCTGGTGTGTGACAGGTCTGGAGTTCAAATCCCAGTAGAGGCAATTTTTAAAGAAAAATCTTTTTTAAGTGTCTTTTTTAAGGAAGTAGCCATGATATGCAAGGATAACGAGTGGCTGTCATAAAAAAATGAATATAAATGATTTTTAATGCTACTCTACTGTAGTTATGCAAAATTCCGTATGTGCCTTGCAAGATGAGGCAATTTTGAAAAAAAAAATCTTTTTTAAGTGTCTTTGTTAGGGAAGTAGCCATGATATGCAAGGATTAAGTGTGGCTGTCATAAAAAATGAATATAAATGATTTTTTGATGCTACTCTACTGTAGTTATGCAAAATTCCGTATGTATTAAACTATGGTGCCTTGCAAAGTGAATACAGTACATAAAAATAAACTTATACAGGAAAATACATACAGATATACAGTACGATTTAGATTGCGAAGATCAGAAAATACCACAGAGGTTGCAGCCATTTGATTTCCACCCTCGTCGGTTCGTACATTAAATGTATTTTAGCGCAAATCAACATGTATATGATCATCAGTTGCTGTTAACACAGTTTAACTGTTGTCCAATGAATTCCTTTGACAACTAATATTGTAAATTCAGACTGTTGCTAAGCACCGTTTTTGAATGAGCAAGATTCTAAGATCTTGGTAAATGTAGTGGTATTTTATGTTAGTTAGAAATATACTGTTTACCAAATACTAAAATTGAAATAGTTTTGACGAAAACAAAATGTGGAAAGATTGGTTTTCTTTATTATCGACATATATTTTCTTTAACGGAGGTCTAACTAGTACTACAGAGTATTTGTTATTTAAATTTTTGAGCATAAGGACATTTCTAGGTTAGTGGGTAAGAAACTTACGAAAGTTAAACGAAAAGTAAGCGGCTATCGCGTTATTCAGTTACTTACCTAGGTAGCTTACGAAACGTCGGTCATTATACTCAGGTACCCGCTCATACCTGAAATATACACGGCAGAGCATTCGAGGTCTTCCGCAACTGTCTAGTAAATCTGGAAAGTCGTCATATAACCTGTACTGTATTGTTGCGATGTAATAACAACCAAAAATATAAACCATTTTATTTGTCTCTGTTTATGTTTATAAGGCAAACTTAGATTTCATTAGATTAGGTTAATTTTGTAAACACCTCTCTTTGCATATCTGTCACATGCATCCCTTTTCCGGGTATGCATTAATACTTATTAATTTTAAAAGATGTCTCTTTGCTTTGAGTTACGCATGCAACTTGTATAAAACGAGATGTTTGTTTTGTTCTAAATGAGAATATAACACAATTTCTCTGGTTACAAATATACTAAATATTACCAATTTGCTTTTACTCATTTTGTTTTATATATGCAGTATTGGACTGATGCGTGCTTGAAATGGAACCCAGATGACTTTAACGGCTTACAAGAGTTTACAATACCTTCTGAGAATGTGTGGTTACCAGATTCGGTGTTATATAATAGGCTAGTATATTTTATAAAACGTTCTATAGGAAATGATAACAAATAAAGATGTTTTCAACATTTTACAAGTTTAAGACTCCTCAGATCAAACTTAGATACAAGTATAGCATGATGTATAATTTACGAAGGATAGAAGACTTCCGTTGCAAACAAACAATTCTAACACTTTCAGAATTTTTTCTATATAAACAAAGAAGGCCCGAAGTGTGCGTTATTCTACAACAATGCACTCGCCGTTCTTATTATCTCCCTGCGTATTTTCACATTGGCCATTTTGTTTGAAAAATCTGATAAATTTATAAAAATATTTTGTCGAATTCTGTTGTGAAAACTATCTAGAATGAAAGAAAATGGTTTAACTAAGAAAATGAATCCGAACACCAATATCTTTAATTCAGTCGTTAACGCTGTACAGACGTTTAAAGTGTTGTTCACGTGACGTCACAATGTAGCGCCAAACAGCACGTGCAAAACAATCAAATCAAGTACGCTATTTTAATGTCGCAAACGAGTTTAAGTTTTACATTTATTTCACTTTTTGAATAATTTGTATTTCGCTTGAAAAATTATAGAGTGAAATAAAATGAACAAACAAAGTTATATCAACGTTTTCAAAATTCCTTATTCTCAAAATGTTTCTACACACGGTAGATTTAACGACAGATTTTTTCAACCGACTGGAACAGCTTTTAAAGAACGTTTCTATTGGAAACTCTGAGGCGAAAACAAATTTAACCACCAAACATAAAGTCTAACTTTATAATAATAATTATATTTTTTCTTGACGTGTTAGAATGGAAATAGATATCAATTCTGAGTGCATTATTGTATAATAATGCACGTTTTTCGTTCAAATGCGTTGTAATTAATCACTGAGGCCTATCGGCCTTCGTGATTATATTACTACGCATTTGAACTCAAACCGTGCATTATTCTATAACAATGCACTCAGAATTGATATATATTTCCTAAACAAACAAACAAAACAACAACTAAAAACATAAGATATTAATTTTTACTTGACACAGTGTATACAATTTTCAAATATTTCAGTGTCGAAGACTTTAAAGCCGGCGGCGGAAATGTAATGACAAGGTACAATGGAGAAGTGATGTGGGTACAGTCATTAAAATTAAGAAGTTCATGTGCCATGGATGTTTCTATGTTTCCTTTTGATGAACAACATTGCATTCTGAAGTTTGCGTCTTGGACATACAATGGATTACAAGTATTCATATTTCTATGCATTTGTCTGCCTCATTCATTGGCTTTCACTGCAGGATATTGATAAAGTTGCTTCAAATCCTTAGACCCTCAAACTGTTGGTTTGTCTTATCAAAAACCTTCGATTTGCTTTCTAAAGAGAACCTTTTTAACTACATAACGGATGGTCGTCATTCTGTTAAGGTGACTTAAGTGCTTTACAAGGGATATGACCCTATTTAAGATCATTCTGCTGCACTTATTCGGATTTTTTTCCGCTCTAAATGTTTCTTAATTAATCAACAAACAAGCTAAATTCAGTAGGAATAGTAAAATATGTAAATGAAAGAGTTTTTGCAAATACAAATATATGCCATGCCTATACAACTGTTCCAATAAAAATGACTTGCATTCAGTTTCAAGCCAACTTTAAATTAATGTTAATTTGTTGTTGTGGTAACATTAAATGTTGATAAGAATGATACCTTTCATAAACACTACCCAAATGCCTATATCTCAACTTAGCCCAACTAACTGTTGCAGAATGAAACACCTTCACATGCTTATGTTTTCAATGATGTTGTTTAATTGTTTCATTACCTTCTTTGTGCTTTACTTAAGAAATAATATATCCCAAACAGTGATTTTATCGCTCAATATCACTGTTTGGAGTTCGAATGCGAGGAATTATATCACGAGGGCGTAGCCCGAGTGATATAATGATGCGCATCCGAACGACAAACAGTGATGTTATCAAATACGGAATGCCGTTAGGGCCATCGCCTATGAATGTGTTGATCTGAAACGCGATAGTCGATAATACGATGGTGTAAACGCGAAATCACGAAACTACGATGGTGAAAACGCGAAAGTACGATGATGAAAACGCGATAGTACGATGATGAAAACGCGACAGTACGATACTACGATGATGAAAACGCGATAAACTATCGTGTTTTCACCATCGTACTGTCGCGTTTTCACCATCGTAGTTTCGTGATTTCGCGTTTTCATCATCGTACTGTCGAGTATCGCGTTTCAGATCAAACCATTCATAGGCAATGGCCCTAACGGCATTCCGGAATGCCGTTAGGGCCATCGCCTATGAATGTGTTAATCTGAAACGCGATAGTCGATAGTACGATGGTGAAAACACGAAATCACGAAACTACG